GTAGTAGTAGTAGTTGTAGTAGTAGTAGTAGTAGTAGTGGTAGTCATAGTAGTCGTAGTCGTAGTCGTAGGCGTCGTAGTAGTAGTAGTAGTAGTAGTAGTAGTAGTAGAAGACGAAGAAGTAGTATTAGTAGTTGTCGAGTCGTAGTAGGAGTAAACTGGTAGGGCGTAGGCAGCAGGTCGTAAGTTGTAGGTAGTTGGCAGCATGCGGTAGGTAGCAGGTAGTAGCTTGTATGTCGTAAGCCGCCATATGTAGGTCGCAGGTCGTAGGTAGTAGGGTACAGGTAGTAGGTAGTGGATCGTGGGTAATAGGAGTAGTCGTGGTAGTAGTCGTCGTCGTAGTCGTAGCAGTCGTAATAGTTGTAATTGTCGTAGAAGTTGTCGTAGTAGTAGTAGTAGTAGTAGTAGGAGTAGGAGTAGTAGTAGTAGTAGTAGTAGTAGTAGTAGTAGTAGTAGTAGTAGTAGTAGTAGTAGTAGTAGTAGTAGTAGTAGTAGTAGTAGTAGTAGTAGTAGTAGTAGTAGTAGTAGTAGTAGTAGTAGTAGTAGTAGTAGTAGTAGTAGTAGTAGTAGTAGTAGTAGTAGTAGTAGTAGTAGTAGTAGTAGTAGTAGTCGCAGTCGCAGTAGTAGTAGTAGTAGTAGTAGTAGTAGTAGCAGCAGAAGTCGAAGTAGTAGGAGTACCGGCAGGATGTGAAGGAGGAGGATGAGGTGGAGTGAGAAGGCAAGATGAAGCACAAGAAGAAAGAGGAGGAGGAGGAGGTGGAGGAGGTGGAGGAGGAGCAGCAGGCTGAGGCATGAGGGTGGTAAGTTGTTTTCCGCCCTGGTTCCTGACCCCTTGAGTCCCCCGGGGGCCCCTGGAGGCTTCCCGAGTCCTGATAACGGCCAAACGCGTCCGACCCCCCCATTTGACATTCGAGGGCAGCGGCGGTGGCGAGGGCGGCGTCCGAAAGCCCGGGAGGCGACGCGGAAGCTGGCGGAGGTCCTGCACGGCAGGGCCGCCACTCGCAAGGATGACGTCGAGCAGCTGCACAGGCCCGCCCGTGGCTTGCCAGGAGGTCGTCGTCGTCGCCATCGCCGCCGCCGTCGTCGTCGGCATCGTCGTCATCGTCGTCGTCGTCATCGTTGTCGTCGTCGTTGTGGTTGTCGTCGTGGTCGTCGTCGTGGCCGTCGTCGTGGCCGTCGTCGTCGTCGGCGGTGGCGGCGTCATCACCATCATCGTCGTCGTCATCATCATCAGCATCAGCATCACCATCATCACCATCATCATAACCACCATCACCATCACCATCACTATCACCATCTCCATCATCATCATCATCATCATAATCATCATCATCATCACCATCATCATCAACAGCATTATCATCCTAGTTAGCATCGTTGCCATCATCATCATCATCATCATCATTGCAGTTGCCACCATCCTCCTCCTCCTCCTCCTCCTCCTTCTCATCGTCATCATCATCATCATCATCATTACCATTTTGTCAGCATCATAACCACCATCATCAGCATCATCATCATCGTCTTCACCACCGCCACTACCATCATCATCAGCATCATCAGCATCATTATCATCATTATCATCACCATCAGCATCACCATCATCATCATCCTCCTCCTCATCATCATCATCATCGTCATCATCATCATCATAATCATCATCATCATCATCATCATCATCATCATCATCATCATCATCATCATCATCATCATCATCATTATCATCATCATTGTCATCATCATTGTCGTCATCATCATCATCATCATCATCATCATCATCATCATCATCGTCATCATGATTATCATCCTGGCACGTCATCAGGAACTGGTGACGCAGTTAGTCTTCTCCTCGCCCGGCTGAGCCTGGCGAACGCGGCCGAGCTCAGGGACGTGTGCACCGTGACGTTCTACGCGCACCTGGTCCCAGTCACGGCGGGTATCGCCGAGGCCATGATGCAGGCGGGCCGGGACTACCAGGAGAAGGCGCCAGAGAACAAGCAGCTGGAGAGCCCAGCGGCGAAGGAGGACGCGGCGAAAGCTCTGGGGCCTTCAGTCCTGCACGTGTGGATCGCTCTCCTGGAGGCTGCGGTGGTGGTGCCGGGCCTCGAGGAGGCGCACCGGAAGGTCTTCATCGAGTATTGGAACGAGCGCGTGCTGAAGATCCCCATGTAGGACCTGGCGGAGGAAGTGAGGCACTGCCGCTTCGATGCTCGTTTTGGGGACCTTTCTGGGGCCTGCCCAATGCATTTGTTCGACTCCAGTTCGATTCAAGTTCGACTCATGTTCGAGTCAGGTTCGACTTAGGTTCGACTCAGGTTCGACTCAACCTCGACTCAGGTTCGACTCAAGTCGACGGACGTTCGACGCAGCTTCGACGCACGAGTGGAGCGAGTGTCTCCAGGAAGGTCTCCAGAATGAGCATCCAATGCCGCTGCCGGAAGACCAGGGCCAAGGAGGGCAAACCAAGCATGGTTCGGGTCACTCTCGCGGTGGGCGCACGCTACCTGCAGCTCGACGCGGCAGTGCGCGCGGCCGTGGTCGAGGCTGAGGGCGCGTGCCCTCCAGAGCTGACGGGAAAAGGGACGAAGAGACACATCTAGGGGCCGATCTTGGACGATCTTGGACGCTCCAACGACTCGCGGCCCCTCCCGTCCAGGTCCAGGGGAGGGGGTAGGGGGAGGGGTCAAGACACCCTCTTCGCACGCAAGCTGTCTAGCTCACTCCCACCTGCCCTCCCACCACATAAGTGGCATCCGAGTCTCGGCATAGCCAGGGGTCGCCACTGGATGGACAGCCAGTGGGAACCAAAGCGGACGCCAGGTGCGCGACGCTCGCCGCGGGCTCCACATGCGGTAGGTGTGCCATCCTTGTAAAATACGTGATGCCCCCCGTCCGCATGGTCCAGATGCTGATGTGGGGGGCGTCAGCATTATTTTGGGCCTGCGCACAGCAGGCATCATCATGCGGGCACCACCGCCGTCCCAGTCAAAAAAAACAATACAAAGTGATCGCGGGTGGCCAGCACAATACCCACGACGTTGTCGCAACGTTTACTTTGCATTGTTTTTGACACGGATGGTGGTCCTGCACAAAGCGGCTTCACTAAGGGTGCCCCGCCATCCCTGTCAAAAACAATACAACGTGCTCACAGGGCGCCAGCGCACTGTCCAGATTTAGCTGCAATGTGCACTTCGTATTGTTTTTTGACAGGGGTTGTGGAGGGTGTTTGACAGGGATGGTGGGGAGGGGGGCCCTCATGGTGTGCGCATGGTTCGGGGTTGGCTGCCGGCCGGGTGGGGGAGGGGCGGTTTTTAATAGGGAACAGTGATAAACCCCTCACCGAAGGGGAATAATAGTTTTTAGAAGAGAAAAGAAAGACATCGTTAGACCACCTGCGCCCAGAGGGCTGGTGGGATTAGATTTGGCCATCGCACGCGCTGCGACGACGAGTACGCAGCTGGCCGCACTTGGTGAAGATCCAATCCAGGCGGTCGATCAAGTCATGCGGCGCCGTAGGGAGGTGACTGTGGAGCCGTCACGTCGGCGATCTAGCCACCGCCGTGTCTGGTCAGCACCGCCATCAGGAAGATGAGGAGGCGTCCAGATTGGTATTTTTTTGAGCGTGTCCAGGTTCATAGGCGAAAAATGTCTGAGCCTGCCCCGAGTCTGGGGCGATTCTGGTTTTTACCTAACAGCGAAGACTGATAGGTTTCTAGTGGTGTCAAAAGGGAGCATCTGATGACTCAGAAGGGAGGTCTGGGCGGCATCCGGACAGCGAGGGCCGGGCTCAGGGCCGGGCTCGTTTTAAGCAAACAGTCACACACTTCGTGCTCTTCGACCTCCCAGAACTCCATTCCCGGGCCACATTTTGAATGCCCGGAGCCAACTGTAGGCCACTTCGTGCTCTTCGACTTCCCAGAACTCCATTCCCGGGCCACATTTTGGATGCCTGGAGCCAACTGTAGGCCACTTCGTGCTCTTCGACTTCCCAGAACTCCATTCCCGGGCCACATTTTGAATGCCCGGAGCCAACTGTAGGCCACTTCGTGGTCTTCGAGTTCCCAGAACTCCATTCCCGGGCCACATTTTGAATGCCCGGAGCCAACTGTAGGCCACTTCGTGGTCTTCGAGTTCCCAGAACTCCATTCCTGGGCATGATTTTGAATGCCCGGAGCCAACTGTAGGCCACTTCGTGTTCTTCGAGTTCCCAGAACTCCATTCCCGGGCCACATTTTGAATGCTGAGGCAGGCTGATGCTGAGGCTGAGGCAGGCTGAGGCTGAGGCAGGCTGAGGCTGAGGCCGAGGCTGAAGGCAGACTGAGGCTGAGGCTGAAGCAGGCTGAGGCTGAGGCTGAGGCAGGCTGAGGCTGAGGCTGAGGCAGGCTGATGCTGAGGCAGGCTGAGGCTGAGGCTGAGGCTGATGCAGGCTGAGGCTGAGGCAGGCTGAGGCTGAGGCAGGCAAGGCAAGGCAGACTGAGGCTTTGGCTGAAGCAGGCTGAGGCTGAGGCTGAGGCTGAGGCTGAGGCTGAGGCTGAGGCTGAGGCAGGCTGATGCTGAGGCAGGCTGAGGCTGAGGCTGAGGCTGAGGCTGAGGCTGAGGCTGAGGCTGAGGCTGAGCAGGCTGAGGCTGAGGCTGAGGCTGAGGCCGAGGCTGAAGGCAGACTGAGGCTGAGGCTGAAGCAGGCTGAGGCTGAGGCTGAGGCAGGCTGAGGCTGAGGCTGAGGCAGGCTGATGCTGAGGCAGGCTGAGGCTGAGGCTGAGGCTGATGCAGGCTGAGGCTGAGGCAGGCTGAGGCTGAGGCCGAGGCTGAAGGCAGACTGAGGCTGAGGCTGAAGCAGGCTGAGGCTGAGGCTGAGGCAGGCTGAGGCTGAGGCTGAGGCAGGCTGATGCTGAGGCAGGCTGAGGCTGAGGCTGAGGCTGATGCAGGCTGAGGCTGAGGCAGGCTGAGGCTGAGGCCGAGGCTGAAGGCAGACTGAGGCTGAGGCTGAAGCAGGCTGAGGCTGAGGCTGAGGCAGGCTGAGGCTGAGGCTGAGGCAGGCTGAGGCTGAGGCTGAGGCTGATGCAGGCTGAGGCTGAGGCAGGCTGAGGCTGAGGCCGAGGCTGAAGGCAGACTGAGGCTGAGGCTGAAGCAGGCTGAGGCTGAGGCTGAGGCAGGCTGAGGCTGAGGCTGAGGCAGGCTGATGAGGCTGAGGGCTGAGGCTGAGGCAGGCTGAGGCTGAGGCTGATGCAGGCTGAGGCTGCGGCAGGCTGAGGCTGAGGCCGAGGCTGAAGGCAGACTGAGGCTGAGGCTGAAGCAGGCTGAGGCTGAGGCTGAGGCAGGCTGAGGCTGAGGCTGAGGCAGGCTGAGGCTGAGGCAGGCTGAGGCTGAGGCCGAGGCTGAAGGCAGACTGAGGCTGAGGCTGAAGCAGGCTGAGGCTGAGGCTGAGGCTGAGGCTGAGGCTGAGGCTGAGGCTGAGGCTGAGGCTGAGGCTGAGGCAGGCTGAGGCAGGCTGAGGCAGGCTGAGGCTGAGGCTGAGGCTGAGGCTGAGGGCTGAGGCTGAGGCTGAGGCTGAGGCCGAGGCTGAAGGCAGACTGAGGCTGAGGCTGAAGCAGGCTGAGGCTGAGGCTGAGGCAGGCTGAGGCTGAGGCAGGCTGAGGCTGAGGCTGAGGCAGGCTGAGGCTGAGGCTGTGACTGCGACTGCCGTTGCCACTGCGACTGTCATCGCGAATGCGACTACGACTGCGAGAACAGCAGAATTCTACAACTGGATTCTCATCCGAATCTTAAGGGGAATGCTTCCAGATGTGCTCCTACACATCGCTGTTAGGTTGCTTTGCCGGGATAATTTTGGCCTCCGAGTCCGGGGCTGTTGACCTTCGGCTCGTCATTCGCCTCTCTTGAACAGCCGGTGCCCCCGGAGCGGTGTCATCTGGCCCCGTCCAGGGGCCATCCCCTCTTTGGGTGCAGGTATGCCAGTTGGCTTTCCGCCCCGCAGCCTGGCCTCAAGTAGCGTACCTGTCAGTTTTACCTCTGATTGGGGCCATGTCTCAGAACAGCGAGCCGTTCACGCAAGCGTGCAGCAGCGAGCCGGGAGTGTGAAGAATGAGACCATGTGGCACTAGATTGATTTATGGATTCATTTATGGCACGTTATCATGATGATTATGATGATGATGATCATCATCATCATCACCATCAACCATGATGATGGTGATCACCATCATCGTCATCATCATGATCATCACCATCAGCAACATCATCATCATCATCATCATCATCATCATCATCATCATCATCATCATCATCATCATCATCATCATCATCAGGGCCATCGCCATCGTTGTTGCATCGCAGGTAGGTCGTACTCTCTTTGCGGTACAGTCTCGGCTGGGTTGTGTGCGGGTTGCGGACGTTTCCACGGGTGAGGACGACGAGAGTGGCGACGACGACAACGACAGCAATAAACGCGACGCCATCCCACATCTCCAGAGAGCTCGTTTGGTTCCTCTGCTTTGGGAGGTTGGATCTGGGGTTTGCATCCACGCCTCACGGCTCACAGTATTCTGGATGCCCCCTTGCGCCCTGGTCTCCGCAACACATGTCATTCTTTCTCGGTGAGTGCGCTATGCATTATTAGGTACCCTTGGCTTGCAACGCATCTGTCGGTCGTAACACATGTGTTGGTTGTTGTAACACATATGTTGGCTGTTGCAGATGTTGGAGATGGTATCACGTCCATGGGAGAGTGCCTGCGCCGAACGTGCTGATTCACATGTCTTGTCCTTGTTCGACTTGCCCTCTCTTTCTCCGTTTTGTTCCCTTCCTGTCCTTTTTTCTTCACTCCTACATTGGCCTCCGCCCTCAGCGTGTTTGGAATCTGGGCACTCTCCTGTCAGATTCGACGCCGCATGCCTTCCGCGGCGCACTTTCCTCCTCCATGGCTGCTGTGCGATGCCTGATTGTACAGTTTGTCGGTTGGACTGCAGTGGGAGCTCACGCAATGCAATTACCCGTCCCCTCCGCTCGTTCTTTTCTTGAGGCTGCTCTTGTGCGCCACGGCTGCTGTGCTCCGAGTCTGTGCATCTGCGGAGCTGCCCTGTCACCGAGGTGGCCTGTGTGTGTGTGGTGCTTTGCGAGTTCGCTTCCCTGCCCTTCCCCCCCTCCAACAACGTTATGCTGGAGAAGGATAAAAGGAGATCACGCATGGTGCCTGAGAGGTGCTCTCTCGTCGCTCTGCTGCGCTCGCCAAGCAATCACCCCCCCTCTCCCTGTCTCGTCCTCTCGCACCGTTGCGTGCTCTCGCTCGTGTCTCTCTCTGCATCCCCCCTTCCCATTCGTGTGGCTGTGCTTTCGATCACCGAGGCACCTCGAGACGTCCAACAAGCCTTCGTCGAGGGTTATGATGATGCTCGGGAAGCTGAGGTCGGCGTGCAGCTGACGCAAACAGCGCCCTCGGAGCGCCATAAAGCATGCAAACCCGTCGGGGCTCGCCCCGGATCGGCTGGAATCTCGAAAGAAGGAAAAAGACAGTAGTCCGAGGGGGGAATTTATATATGACCACCGCCTGGAGGATCAATTTTCGGGGACCTCGGCAGGCGGTGGATACGGACATATTCGGGCGCCTGGGGGCCAAAATATATCCATATCCACCTCCCGCTGGGGCACCAGGACGTCGGTTTCCAGGCGGTGGATATGGATAAAATCCCGCCTCGCAAGTAGGGAGGAGGAGAAGGACACGGAGGAGGACGAGGAAGACGGCGACAAGGATCAGGAAGGGGGCGAAGACGACGAGGACGCAAGTAAGCCAGCTGTGCACCACAGGAACCCCTCCCGCCCGAAGTCCCCTCTTCATCAGTCAATGCGAGCGTGTGCGCTTTCATTGCGCGCAGCGCCCCTCTCAAAGGCGAGCGCCCCACGGGCCCGCAGCTCACTCGGAAGCTCCGCCTTGAATGCCAGTCACCGCCGCCGCCGCCGCCGCCGTCGTCGCCGCCGCCGCCGCCGTCGTCGCCGTCGTCGCCGCCGCCGCCGCCGCCGTCGCCGTCGCCGCCGCCGCCGCCGCCGCCGCCGCCGCCGCCGCCGTCGTCGTCGTCGTCGTCGTCGTCGTCGTCGTCGTCGTCGTCGTCGTTGTCGTCGTCGTCGTCGTCGTCGTCGCCGTTGTCGTCGTCTTGAAGCTCCCGTCCTGAGTGCGGCAAGAGTCAGGAGGGGAAAAAATACACGGACACAATTCATCCTCCGCTCCCAGGAAACTATGGGAAAATATTGGGAAGTTGGGGGGAAGACAGAAACCCAGGAAATATTGAAAATATTGGGAATCCGTTTATTTGTGTGGATCTATTTGTGTGTCCCAGGGCCCCTTCAAGGAGGAACAAGGCGGCCAGGCGACGGCACCGCCTCGAGGCGAGGCCGCCCTCTCCGCCCGCGCAGGCGCCGCGGGGGGGGCTCTCTCTCCTCGCGGGGGCCCCCCCCCTCCCCGTCGAGGAACGGGGCCGCCCCCCGCAGAGCCGCGCGCTCGCGGCGCTACACGGCGAGAGAGCCGCGGCGAGAGAGCCCCACAGAGCAGCCCCCGGAGCTGCTTGGGGGGATGTAGCCCTCGACTTTAGGGGGCCACAAGCGAACACGACCCCTACCCTTAGGTCGGGCCTGTCCCCCTACAGGGGGATTTTCGACGACCACAAACAAGCTACCCCAAAAATACCCCCAAAAGGTAAACAAATACTCCAAAAATAGTCCCCCGACTATGTTTTGATTTTTTTCTTTACTATTTCGGGGGTAGTTTTAATATTTTTCGTCGAAGATCTCCCTGTAGGGGGACAGGCCCGACCTAACCCTACCCCCCACGATTTCTGAGGGGGGAGGGTGGGGTTCACTTCGCTGGTGTGAAAAAGTCACGACGTCGGGGGGTCCGGGAGACGGTTCCAAGATCGCCTCAGATCGTTCCAAGATGACTCCCACAAACGCTTCGTCGAGTTTCGGCGGGGGGCTCTCCCTGACGCCGCTGGCTGTCGACCGAGGGCCTCCCACCTCGCTTTGGGGCGCCACGGGGCGACCGACCGCCTTTTGGAGGGGGCCGCGCGCGCCCGGCACCCGTGAGAGCGCGCACTCGCGCCGAGGCGAGAGCCCCGTGCTGAAGACCGGCCCGTGCTCCATCTGCGCAAGTGGCTGCTTGCCCTCGACAGGAGGACTATTCAAACATAGCAGAAACATTGTCGGCGGACGTTTTTTTTTTTTTTGTTGTTGTTGTTTTTTTTCTTCTTCCCCCGCCCAATATTTGCAAGCATTTGTTGATTATTTCGGCCAGCTCATATTTTCCGTCCACAATCCGCCTGCAGGAGGACATGCCCGACCTCACACTGGGCCCCGCCGCCGCTGCCCGCCGACGCAGCAGCCGCCGCGGGCCCGCCGGCGGGGCCGGCCGCGCCGCCGCTCGGGGAGCGATCCGTCCCCCCTGAGCCGCTCGCTCCGTCCGCCCCTCTTTCGGCCACGCCCTTCGCCTCTGCCCCTGTCCTGCATGGTGGCGCACTTCGCCCTAGCGGCGCCCCACGTTTGGGCCTTTCCGCTACATGTGTGCAATTTTTTGGTTCGGCAGCGAATCGTGGGTACCCAGTGTGCCCTATTGATTGCGTCTTCAGCGTCGATGAGCGTCGATTGGCGTCAGGGAGTCGATGAAGTAGCGCCGATTTAGCGTCGATGAGCGTCGATCAGCGTCGTTTTAGCATCGATTCAGCGTCGAGTAGCGTCAGTTTAGCGTCGATGAGCGTCGATTCGCAGGAGCCAGCAAGATGGTATGAGAGGCTCCCATGAGTTGCCACCGAAGATGGGATTGACCAAGACGAGTGCGAATGCGCGCGGCGCCAATGTGAGGGGCCCTGTTTGAAATCCACCAGTCCTGCCTCCGTGCAAGTTGTTCGAGTTCCCAGGCCCCGTTTTGAACATCACCCGCCCTCCGTGAATCTGTCGGTCTTTTTCAAAACAAGTGTTCGCGGCGCCAAAGCGGGAGCCACATGTTTTTAACCACCCTTCTCCCGCCCGTGTAATTGTTGGCCAACTCAAGCTTCCAGATTGTAGGCGCTGATAAATCTTAGGTGAAATGCCAGGCCCGCCCTAACGGCCCGTGTGGTTGTGTGACAGGAGCGAGATATTCAAAAGAAGGAAGAAGAGAAGAGGGAGGAGGAGGAGGAGGCGGAGGAGGAGGAAGAGTATAATGAGGATGTGGAGGGCGAGACGGATCCGCCAAACATCTCATGATGAGGGTGCGAGGGATGAGAACGATGCGCAAGCTAAGGGGGATACGTTCGCATCGCGCCAGCATGTGCAGCGAGAGAGGCCTCGAAATTCACATGGGCAATGATGTTCCTTTGAGCGCCTGCTCCCTGTGCTGCGCTCCTTCCTGCGTAAGAGGCGTGCGCGTTCTATGTCCAGATTCCGGTCGCCGTGACGAGCTCGAATACCAATTAAGTAAGGTGGAGAGGGAGGAGGAGGAGGAGGTTGAGGAGGAGGAGGTGGACAAGGAGGCTGGGTGATGACGACGGATCATGATGACGCTGATTATTTTGCTGATGTTGATGCTGATGCTGATGAGGAAGATGATGATGACGGTGATGATGAGGATGACGACGATGACGAACATGATGCTGCTGATGTTTACGAAGGTAGTTCTGATATCGATGTGGTTCATGTTGATATTGGCGGTTATGATGATGCCGATGATAAGGATGATGATCATTCTGATGACCATGATGATGTTGATATCGATGTTTTTGTTGATGATGCTGTCGATACTGATGCAGATGCTGATGAGGTGGATGAGGATGACAGTGATGACGACGATGACGACGATGATGAGTACGGTGCTGCTGGTATATACGGCGATGGTTATGGCATCGGTGTTGTTCATGGTGATTGTGGTGGTTATGATGATGCTGATGCTGATGATGATGAGGATGATCATGATGCTGTTGACGATGGCGATGACGATGGTGATGATGAGGGTGATAATGATGCTGATGATGATGATGATGATGATGATGATGATGATGATGATGTGGATGATGCTTATGATGCTGATGCTGATGCTGCTGCTGCTGCTGATGATGATGATGATGATGATGATGATGATAGTGATGATGGTGATGATGATGATGATGACGACGATCATTATTTTGATGACGATGACGATGCTAAGGATTGATTATGGTGACGATGATGATGATAGCGAGGATGACGATGAGGATGACGATGATGATGATGATGATGATGATGATGATGATGATGATGATGGTGGTGGTGATGATTGTGATGAGGATGATGGTGCCAATTTCGAGGAGGACGATGTCTAGCTTGATGCTGGTGATGATGATGGTGAGGCTAATGGGCATGGCGATGTTGATGCTGATTACGTGATGCTGATGTTCATGATGTGGATGATCATGATGCTGATGATTATGCTCATGCTGATGATCACGAGCAAGTCCATGATGACATTCCATGCGACGATAGTGAGCATGTTCATGATGATGCTGGTGTCGAGTACGGCAAATATTATTATTATGATGCTGATGCTTGTTGACGTGGGGCAGTATCACAATGATGATGCCGGCGCTGATGACGACGGCAAACATGGTGATGGTGACGATGCTGCTGACGACGGTGGCGTCAACTGTTACTCCTCTCGTGCAGATGTTGATGATCCTGTTTATGATGCTGGTTCTGATCACGGTTGTGACGGCTGTGGTGATGACGGTGCTGACGAGGAGGATGACGACGGCAACGACGATGGTGTTGATGATGCTGATGATGATGAGGTATGGTGCTACCGATGATGTTGATATCAGGGGGGGGCATGCCAATAACCACTCTGGTTGCCTCCAGGGCGCCTTGGATTTCTTGGGTTTCGGTGGTTTTGCGATGGAGAGCGCGACGTTCCCACACCAAAAAGCGATGGACGCCCTGGGGTCTCAGGGTTGGGTTTTTTGAGGAACGTTTCTGGTGGACTGGCCTCCACTGTACGTACTGGCGATGATCATAACGGCGATGACCATGCTGATGTTTATTATTAATGGCTTCGCTCATTCCGCCGGCCCTGGAGCCCTCTTTAGGGCCTCTTGGGGGCCTCTTGGGGACCTCTTGAGAGTCTCTTGGGGCTCCTTGGCGGCGTCTTGGGGGCCCCCAGGGCCTCTTGGGGGGCTTTTGGGGGCCTCTTGGGGCGGGAGGGGGGGTAGTCGGTTGCGGCTCCCCCCTCGGCGGCCACGATCCTCGTGATGGGTGTCGAAAAATGGCCCTCCCCTGGAGTACTCTGGTGGCTTCTCCCGGGACCTTGCCGGGGTACTTCTCTTCCGGGGGCCCCCAGGGGGCCGCTCCGCGCGCGCGAACTAGAAATATTGTTCACCAGTTACCGGAGATCTTAGCACGCCTATGGCGTGTTGGGCCAGCGAATTAACACGTCCATGATGACAATGTACACGACGATGGGGAATCTGCTTATGCTGATGCTGGTGCCGATTACGATAAGGCTGCTCAATCTGCTGCTGGTACTTATTGATGTGGGGTTTGATCATAATGAGGATGCGGGCGCAAATGGCGACGGCGAACATGGTGATGATGATGGTGACGACGATGCTGACGATGACGACGGTGACGACGACCGTGACGATGACGATGACGACGACGACCATGGTGATGATGATGATGATGATGATGATGATGATGATGATGTTTATGATGATGATGGTAATAATGATGATGATGATGATGATGATGATGATGATGATGATGATGATGATGATGATGATGATGATGATGATGATGATGCTAATGCTGATGCTGATGCTGATGATGCTGATGCTGATGATGCTGATGATGATGATGCTGATGATGATGATTCTGATGGTACTGACACTGATGCGTATGATGCTGATGATGCTGATGATGATGCTGATGATGCTGATGATGACTATGATGACGATGCGGATGATGCTGATGATGCTGCTGATGATGCTGATACTGATGCTGAAAATGATGCTGCTGCTTCTGATGATGATGCTGACGATGACGATGATGATGAGTCTGCTGATAGTGATGATACTGCTGATGCTGCTGATGATGATGATGATGATGATGCTGATGCTGCTGATGCTGCTGCTGCTGATGCTGATGTTGATGATGATGCTGCTGATGATCATTATGACGATGCTGATGCTGATGCTGATGCTGCTGATGATGATGATGATGATGATGACCATGCTGCTGCTGATGCTACTCATGTTTATGATGATGCTGATGATGATGATGCTGATGCTGATGCTCATGATGATGATGTTGTTGTTGATGGACGACTGTTGGTGATGCTGTTCATGGTGGTGATGATGATGTTGATGCTTATGATGCTGCTGCTGATGATGATGATGCTGATGATGGTGATGCTGATGATGATGATTCTGTTGATGCCTATGCTGCTGATGATACTGCTGACGACGACGATGGTGGTGACGGCGTCGATAGTGGTGATCTGCTGGTTTTGATCACGGTGGTGATTGTTTTGTTGATGATGGTGATGACGAGGAGGAGGAGGAGGAGGAGGAGGAGGAGGAGGAGACGATGGATTATGCGGAGGGTGAGGAG